CAGCAGTGTTTATGTTGTACAGACACTCCACATGGTATCAGACATACAGGAGTGTTATGTTGTACCGACACTCCACATGGTATCAGACATACAGGAGTGTTATGTTGTACATACACTCCACGTGGTATCAGACATACAGGAGCGTTATGTTGTACCGACACTTAGCATGGTATCAGACATACAGGAGTGTTATGTTGTACAGACTCTCCGCATGGTATCAGACATACAGGAGTGTTTATGTTGTACAGACACTGCACGTGGTATCAGACATACAGGAGTGTTTATGTTGTACAGACACTCCACGTGGTATCAGACATACAGGAGTGTTTATGTTGTACAGACACTCCACGTGGTATCAGACATACAGGAGTGTTTATGTTGTACAGACACTTAGCGTGGTATCAGACATACAGGAGGTGAGTAGGTTTCACTGCATCAGCATTTTCCTTCCCCGGGCTTCTTGTGGTTGTGATGCCGCACTGTGTGGCTGTAAACGTGTCATTGTAAGCATGTATATTGTAAACATTGAGGAAGAAAAACGTCGATAACATTCTTCTGCGAACAAATACAGGAAACACAACGTGTAACAATTTACATCTTATCTTATCTCGTACTAACTTTCCTGAACAAATAATGTTATCGAAAACTGAGGAAGCTAGGTGAATGAAGGACACAGGGTGGCTAATCAGTTACTCTGCTGCCGGGGAGGGCGTGGTCGACACTAACGTAATAGTACGTGCTTACTTCTACATAAACACCGATTTTATCCACGTTGATTCTTTAGCGTCATGTATATGCTGACACCCAAATGTCCGTACCACCCAGTGTGCCTACACACCGACGTAGCTACACGTTAGTATGCCAACACCCCGATATGAGTACATATCCTAATACCCCACATCTAAATACCCCCACAAGCCGATGTGCATATCTGAATACCTCGTATACCCCACCACGAACAACACAGGCTGCACGTGAATTTCTGAGAGTCAGAATACATTCCTTATACCCCGCTTCAAAGCAAAAAGCCGCACGCTTTTTCCAGTTAACCTCGGCTCAATCGAGCAGCTGTTTTCTATCAATTTTGAATTTGTTTTATTTTGTTACAATGTCTCATTAAAACATGTCGGTAAGATAAATTCGTTGTAACAGGATCACTCCGGCTCGTTGTATAAAATCTAACAAGGGACGTATGAAACCCCTGGTGTACGCTTCGTGATCCTGATACAATTTATAACACTGTCCCCCGGTGGAGCAGTCAATACTGTCCCCTGGTGTAGCAGTCAATACTGTGTTGTATATACTGTCCCCTGGTGTAGCAGTCAATACTGTCCACTGGTGGAGCAGTCAATACTGTGTTGTATATACTGTCCCCTGGTGTAGCAGTCAATACTGTCCACTGGTGGAGCAGTCAATACTGTTCCCTGGTGGAACAGTCAATACTGTCCCCTGGTAGAGCAGTCGATACTGTCCACTGGTGTAGTAGTCAATACTGTCCCCTGGTGGAGCAGTCAATACTGTCCCCTGGTGGAGCAGTCAATACTGTCCCCTGGTGTAGCAGTTAATACTGTCCCCTGGTGTAGCAGTCAATACTGTGTTGTATATACTGTCCACTGGTGTAGCAGTCAATACTGTCCCCTGGTGGAGCAGTCAATACTGTCCCCTGGTGGAGCAGTCAATTATGTCCCCTGGTGGAGCAGTCAATACTGTCCCCTGGTGTAGCAGTCAATACTGTCCCCTGGTGTAGCAGTCAATACTGTCCCCTGGTGTAGCAGTCAATACTGTTCCCTGGTGTAGCAGTCAATACTGTCCCCTGGTGTAGCAGTCAATACTGTCCACTGGTGGAGCAGTCAATACTGTCCCCTTGTGGAGCAGTCAGTACTGTGTTGTATATACTGTCCCCTGGTGTAGCAGTCAAGACTGTCCCTTGGTGTAGCAGTCAATACTGTCCCCTGGTGTAGCAGTCAATACTGTCCCCTGGTGTAGCAGTCAATACTGTCCCCTGGTGTAGCAGTCAATACTGTCCCCTGGTGTAGCAGTCAATACTGTCCCCTGGTGTAGCAGTCAATACTGTCCCCTTGTTGAGTAGTCAATACTGTACCCTGGTGTAGCAGTCAATACTGTCCCCTGGTGTAGCAGTCAATACTGTCCCCTGGTGTAGTAGTCAATACTGTCCCCTGGTGTAGCAGTCAATACTGTCCCCTGGTGTAGCAGTCAATACTGTCCCCTTGTTGAGTAGTCAATACTGTACCCTGGTGTAGCAGTCAATACTGTCCCCTGGTGTAGCAGTCAATACTGTCCCCTGGTGTAGCAGTCAATACTGTCCCCTGGTGTAGTAGTCAATACTGTCCCCTGGTGTAGCAGTCAATACTGTCCCCTGGTGTAGCAGTCAATACTGTCCCCTGGTGTAGCAGTCAATACTGTCCCCTGGTGTAGCAGTCAATACTGTCCCCTGGTGTAGCAGTCAATACTGTCCCCTGGTGTAGCAGTCCATACTGTCCCCTGGTGTAGCAGTCAATACTGTCGGCCTCTTCTCATGTGGCCTTGTATCTCCCACACCACCAGTCTGGACCGCCGAGTGTTGACTTGAGTGACAGGTAAACTGAAAGTAATAGGCATAACTAAGGTTGGCCAGTGGTCAGTATGTAGTCTATCAATACAGGACGAGTCTGACACACACCGCTTACCTTGAAGTCCAATAGGAGAAGAACACATGACGTGAGGGATACCACTGGGATAATCAAACTCACTCGTTCCTATGGAAATGTGTTTATTTATGTTTATTATCGTTGCATAGCAACAAAATAGGATTGTGTCTTAAAGCCCTATAATTAGATGGACTAATGGATTAGTGGTCTGGTTTGAACACGATAGGGGTCTAGAATTCCACAATCACCGCGGCTGGAGATGGCAGACCTTTGCACAGCACGCGTGAAGAAAATATACATCAGTTACCTAACAACAGGCAAAGCCGTGTGATAAAAATATTTAAATATAATTAGACATTCTGGAACTTCAAGAAATGTTAAGTTCTCTGGTCAAATGGGTTATAATCAGGTTTTAAGGTCCTTTCTTCTATTTGTTCTTCTTTGATGCTGGGTTTACTCTGTAAACAATAATATGTTATGTTAGGAGAGATTTTGAGATGTCCATTGGTATCTGAAACTGTACACTTAGAAAGAACGATATTCCAGCCCATCCCATCCATTTCGGCATGCCCGGATATTTTGTAAACAGACCGGAAGATGTCCATACGACCCTTAAGTCTTGCAGTAATGAACCAGCGCGAGGTATCATGTTCGTAACGTGTCAGTATATATAATTAATGGTTTGGAGGCAGTCGCTAAGCCGAAAAAAGCGAGATATCAAAATCTCGAGTTGTCAGAAAGAATGGTTCACGTCTGTAAGACCGGAATGTGGCGAGATAAAGCGAGAGTCCAGGATTTCACAAGTTGATCGATTGGTGAAAAGTGACTGAAATTTACACGTGCCGTCAATCCGTTGTGTCAACGCAAAGCAAGCAAACTCCGATTCGGACCGATAAATTTGATTAGGAATCAGGGATATAAACCGACGTTATGCATGTTTTATGACTTGTCTTTCTTGAGTGTCAACCCTCTTTCTTGTGCTTATGCAACTTTGGTCAGGTCTCGCAACTCGCCGAGTTAATTGCGCTGGGGAACGGCCATTTTGATTTTACGCCAAATGATTACGTGTTTGTGCTATACAAAAGTGGTAATTCCGTTTTAGATTAGTCTCTCAGCGACAGGCAGTGCCTGTGACAGGCGTCCTCAGCACAGATAGACGCCTGGCGGGCACCCTGCTCAGTGTGCCACACACGCACCATGGTGTGGACTCCGCTCCCCTCTATAACACGATGTTGTCAGATAACGTCCCTAATCGTATATGATGTATAAACTGTATTTACAATATATTTCATTACAAGTTTCTTTTCGTAAGAGTACGCAGAGAATGATTCTGTTTAGAAGCTGAATATACCAATCGGGCATGGAGACATGTCCAAACATTTATTTAGGATAGATATGGTTACCATTATTATTAGTAGAAGTATTAGTATTGGTATTATTGGGAGGTATAGAAACGAGCTCCGTCCGACACGTTTCGTGTCCTGAGCATTATTCAAAAATCTTTCACTATTTCCACATGTAGGTTTGTCTCCACATCAGGCATGCACGGAACTTGTACGGTTGCTATTCAGTATTAGTTTAGATTGTTATTTTTGGCGTATCCATCACATCAAGGTTCAAGCGAGAGTATGTATCGTCTCCTCAACGGTTTCTCATTTCTTTGTGAATCCTTGTATACACATCCCGCAAGTGCTGAACTGGTGTCTTTTCTAAAACAGAAAGTTTTGAAATGTAACTAATTAGGGTTTGTTTTTGCCGAACTCATAAACCATTCAATATTTCCTGATGAAGTGGGTGTTGCTCACAATGCAGCGTCAATTAACAAGACATGCACATCATCAGATGTGAACGTTATAGGGACATATACCACGGAGAACGAAGAACGTTGTAGGGACATATACCACGGAGAACGAAGAACGTTGTAGGGACATATACCACGGAGAACGAAGAACGTTGTAGGGACATATACCACGGAGAACGAAGAACGTTATAGGGACATATACCACCGAGAACCAAAAACGTTAAAGGTACATTTGCCACCGAGAACCAAGAACGTTAAAGGTACATATACCACCGAGAACCAAAAACGTTATAGGGACATATACCACGGAGAACCAAGAAAGTTATATAGGGACATATACCACCGAGAACCAAGAACGTTAAAGGTACATATACCACCGAGAACCAAAAACGTTAAAGGTACATATACGACGGAGAACCAAGAACGTTAAAGGTACATATACCACCTAGAACAAAAAACGTTATAGGGACATATACCACCGAGAACCACGACATCTGTAGGAACATACAGCGTGGGAAACCATGATCACTGTCACTTTACTGCAAATCAAAATGATTGATTTGAAACCTCTGGAAGGTAATAACACCTTCATCAAATAAACTCAATTAGAAATGAGATCCACTGTTCGCTCGTTACCATGTCAACAGACGTGTAATGAACCCGGATGAGCGTGGAAAATGCACAGTATACGCGTTAGTCACCAATCCTACTTCCAGGAACATCCACGTCACCGCGCAGCTGATGCACACGCCGTACACGTCGCCGCTCTACAGCAGGCATGTGGTTACTGGATGGCCGCTGCACAACCACCCTCACTTCATGGAACCAGGGGCGGTTGGGTAGCCTAGTGGTTAAAGCGTTCGCTCGTCACGCCGAAGACCCGGGTTCGATTCCCGACATGGGTACAATGTGTGAAGCCCATTTCTGGTGTCCCCCGCCGTGATATTGCTGGAATATTGCTAAAAGCGGCGTAAAACCATACTCACGCACTCACTCACTCATGGAACCACGGGACTTTATTGTGGGTACAGGGTGTGCCTCACTCTCATCGTCTACCCCCGGCCAAGGTGTAGATTTGTGATATGCAGAGCGTGTGTACCCTCTGGTTGACATACGTCGGCTGTAGTTCGCAGGTCAACATAAACATCCATTGTGGTAGTCAGTCGTGTATGTCCGACCACCACGTTCATCACCGCAGGATCCCAGTGTGAATACCAAACCCGAGACGAAAGTGGGCAAGGTGAATGTCGAGTTGTAATATCCTAAGATGGTTAGCGAGAATAATCCCCACCCCTGCCGGCACACACCCCGACACACGGAAGGACATCATGACGTCATAATATTTGATGTCATACCATTATTGATCCGGTCCGGTCACACAAGGCAAGTCTCAGTATGATAAACGGTGAAGATCTTGTATTTCATGAGGGACATACAAGCACATTTAGCTCGTCCAATCTCTCGCATCCCGCCAGCCACATGTAATTCCTAATCTGAACACGATATTGATATTCAGCTCGTGTGTTAGAATATGCATGAGGCGTGTATGGGATTAAACCTAGCTGGAATATCAGCAACATAGTATGAGCGTCGGAGACCCACAACAAACATTGTGTCCGCGAGTCCCTGTGTTCACCTAGGGCGACACAAGTGTAAAGCACCTTCCCGCAGTGACGATGAAGCAAGGAATTAGGATATATTACATTACGCACGGGCCACCTGCGCGCACACATTAGTCTGAGAGGCGATCATCCATTAACCTCTATAGTTAGCAGGTTCCGATTTGTTGCAAATATAATGGGATCTCAACATCACATCGCCCGCCTCTATAAGTAGCGTAATGGAAGAAGAATGTCCAATTTGTTCTTTCGCAAAGAAAGACAACCCTACTCCAATCTCACTCGCTAGTTTTTACAAGTATAATTTGTCAGTTTGAACAGTCAATGCGATTGGCCTCATCCCTTGCCGTCTCTGTCAGTATCTCTCTCGCCTCCATCACCGCCTACCGTCACAGTGTCGCCTACTGCAGCATCCCCAGCTCGCGTCACTGTGTCGCCCCCTGCAGCATCCCCAGCTCGCGTCACGGTGTCGCCTACTGCAGCATCCCCAGCTCGCGTCACGGTGTCGCCTACTGCAGCATCCCCAGCTCGCGTCACTGTGTCGCCTACTGCAGCATCCCCAGCTCGCGTCACTGTGTCGCCTACTGCAGCATCCCCAGCTCGCGTCACGGTGTCGCCTACTGCAGCATCCCTAGCTCGCGTCACGGTGTCGCCTACTGCAGCATCCCCAGCTCGCGTCACGGTGTCGCCCACTGCAGCATCCCTAGCTCGCGTCACGGTGTCGCCTACTGCAGCATCAGCATCTCGCGTCACTGTGTCGACTACTGCAGCATCAGCAACTCGCATCACTGTGTCGCCCACTGCAGCATCCCTAGCTCGCGTCACTGTGTCGCCCACTGCAGCATCCCTAGCTCGCGTCACGGTGTCGCCTACTGCAGCATCAGCATCTCGCGTCACTGTGTCGACTACTGCAGCATCCCTAGCTCGCGTCACTGTGTCGCCCACTGCAGCATCCCTAGCTCGCGTCACTGTGTCGCCCACTGCAGCATCCCTAGCTCGCGTCACGGTGTCGACTACTGCAGCATCCCTAGCTCGCGTCACGGTGTCGCCTACTGCAGCATTAGCACCTCGCGTCTTGGTGTCGACTACTGCAGTATTAGCACCTCGCGTCACGGTGTCGACTACTGCAGCATCCCTAGCGCGCGTCACGGTGTCGACTACTGCAGCATCCCCAGATGGCGTCACGGTGTCGCCTACTGCAGCATCCCCAGCGCGCGTCACGGTGTCGACTACTTCAGCATCAGCAACTCGCATCACTGTGTCGCCCACTGCAGCATCCCTAGCTCGCGTCACGGTGTCGACTACTGCAGCATCAGCAACTCGCATCACTGTGTCGCCCACTGCAGCATCCCTAGCTCGCGTCACTGTGTCGCCCACTGCAGCATCCCTAGCTCGCGTCACGGTGTCGCCTACTGCAGCATCAGCATCTCGCGTCACTGTGTCGACTACTGCAGCATCCCTAGCTCGCGTCACTGTGTCGCCCACTGCAGCATCCCTAGCTCGCGTCACTGTGTCGCCCACTGCAGCATCCCTAGCTCGCGTCACGGTGTCGACTACTGCAGCATCCCTAGCTCGCGTCACGGTGTCGCCTACTGCAGCATTAGCACCTCGCGTCATGGTGTCGACTACTGCAGTATTAGCACCTCGCGTCACGGTGTCGACTACTGCAGCATCCCTAGCGCGCGTCACGGTGTCGACTACTGCAGCATCCCCAGATGACGTCACGGTGTCGCCTACTGCAGCATCCCCAGCGCGCGTCACGGTGTCGACTACTTCAGCATCAGTACCTCGCGTCACGGTGTCGACTACTGCAGCATCCCCAGATGGCGTCACGGTGTCGACTACTGCAGCATCCCCAGCGCGCGTCACGGTGTCAACTACTGCAGCATCCCGAGATGGCGTCACGGTGTCGACTACTGCAACATCAGCACCTCGCGTCACGGTGTCGCCTACTGCAGCATCCCCAGCGCGCGTCACTGTGTCGACTACTGCAGCATCAGCACCTCGCGTCACAGTGTCGACTACTGCTGTAATTCCATCGTGAAACATCCTCATTCTGGAGATAACTGTGCTAGACTTTGTTTTAGAATGATAACTTGTTCTCATCATCAACCTAGTCATGTCTGGCTTGTTTGGCACAACATGCACGTCTGTGAACGTGACAGCGTGGTTGGTAGTCCTAGCGTGTAACTACCACCCAGCGGATCCCGGACACGCCCACACAGATCACCAGCTCTCTCCCCAAAATACATATCGGAAACGTTCTAGTATGTTATGTATGCTGAATTTTCGTCCTTTGGCTTGAGTGTTCCGATGTTGAGGCAGTGCTGACGGCGCCCTATCCAGGCGTGCGGGCCGTTGTGCCGCTGTGACACTGCCGCAATCTACCACCTACATTACACTGTGTGTATCAAGTACAGTCTCTATGTTTCAGACTGCCGCCGTGTTGCGAGGATTATCTCTCATTCCGTGTCAGGGGATTATAACCCAGAAACAGGCCGATGCGGGTAAGTTGCACCATCTCTCGAATAAAACGCAAATGCATTTGCGTATTCAGTGTTCACACTTAATAATGTCATTCATTTTCGAATATGCACATACTGTGCAGTCATTTGGACCCCCTGTCCCTAGTAAAGCTACTGGGCCCAATGTCTTTGACATTATCCATGTGGTACGTAGCTTACAGCAATGATTAAATTTCACAAAACACGACTTCCGGCAGTAATCTGACCAGGAAATAGTTGCGGATCCTCCCCCTTTCTCATTATTAGCTTTATAGAGGCATGCACTATATTTCAAATAATTAGCGCGGACTGATAGTCATAAATGAGGTTTGAAAAGATGGCGCTGACTCAATATTGACTCTCCTGTGTCAAGGCTTCTTTAAATATGGTCGACGCAAGATAAGCACGCTCATTAAACAGACAAAGGTGAAAAGGCATGCCTCGTCACGACACAACAGCATATATTGCTCCGCCATTACAAACAGTCCTTGTTCCCGATAGCCGGGTTGTAGTGTGACTTGTGTTCCTTGCTGATGGCGACTTGGTTTACTTTCAAAGGTCATATAATGATCGGAAGGCGATTAGTTCTTAATGCATGCTTCACATTTCTGAAACTGAAACGACTCGATCTACATGTGCCGTGTGTCCAGAGGAACGATTCCTCGTGAAATTATGCTATGTTCATCGGAAGGGAATTAGGTAAATTTGTTTTGAAAACGTCTTTTGTGAAAAAGAAAATTTGGATTCAACTTCTTTAGCTGATATACAATGTTTAAGGGTGCTTCTCGGTACTTTACCGCAGGCGTGAGGAGTGAGGAGGCAATACTTCGAGAAAGAAGCGTTTTAATTCCATGTAAACTGTTGTCAGCGGATACATGGACATCGGCGTTCGCAAGACTGTTCTGCCTGGCCACCTCTGTAGCTCATGCAGCCCATTCAGCTTTATAAAATGTCGCACAAGGTCGTCGCCCTCTGTGAAGAGAGTTATTGACCTTTTGAACTGAGACCCGCAAATAAATTTTCGAATTTCCGTTTTTATTAAAACAATTTGAAAAGTAGAGAACAGTTTACTTTCTCAATTCAGACAAAATTTCCCCTTGCAGAAAAGATCGTTCGTTCCATACGAGTAAGAGCGAACGTCGCCGTTTTCGTTTGGTATTAATAGCCGAGAGGAAATTAAAACCACTGTGTTATCTGAGAAATCGTTGGTCATTGGTGAATCCAAGTTTCGTTTCGCTTCTTTTGCCGGTAGGAAATTACATGAGCAGTTTGGTGTGTTGGATCAATAGAGATTCATCTTCATAGCGGCAGCACGTGCTCCAGCACCACCATCGCCATGACGGTCGGCCGGCGCGGGCTTATTGGATGCGTTTCTGAGACGCGCTTCGATTTTCCTAACGTTTTACTTAACGACAGCGCGGCAATGATAATATAATTTCATTTATCCACCCATCCCTATCACTCTTTGACAAATGACTAATCCTTTATTGAAGCAATATTCTGCGACAGTGTTCTAAAATTAAAAAGAAATCATAAAAAGGGTTAGGCGTTTTGAGATATATAATCATAGTATTTCCAATCCGCTTGACAACGAATCACAAACTAAAACTTTGCGCTTAGCTTGCAAGTGTTACTTTGATATATATTAGTGTATTCAAATGCATCAACAGCACTCAAGTACATAAAACAATGCGTGATGTGGCGAATTGGAGAATGAACAGGTTTAGACATTATCCATAGCTAATACAACTACCACCGCCAAATAGACTGCTCCCTTCACAAGTCAGTAATAACCTCTACCCAGTCAGAACCCCTCCCACTGATGTTGAGATGTAGCTCTGCCCAGTCAGAACCCCTCCCACTGATGTTGAGATGTAGCTCTGCCCAGGCGCCTCTTGTACGTGAACTGTTGCGTTGATGTCAGGCGGTGAGGAGTTCAATATTTCCTTTGTGCATCACTGATAAGGACTCTGCCACTAATAAGTCAATTGTATACATATATGCAGGTCTGTGGCGATAAGAGACGCAATTATAACAATGGGCGGGCGTAGCGCGGTGACGTAAGTGTAAAATATGAACGCTAAGAGTGCTCACCCCCGTCGTGACCCCCATTGACATTGGTCTATCCCGCAGGGCAAACTGTGACATATGTAAGTTGTGTGGCCAGATAGATAGACGGATAGATAGGCAATGGGATATCTCAGATACCTCGGATTTCCAGATTAAACTTCAACCGAGCCGGGACAGGTTTATCACGGATAATTAGACCCCCACACACACACCACCCCCTCTTCCTCTGTGGTGGTCAGCTGTCCTTTGCACGCCTTAGGGTGACAGGAATGAGCTCACGTGACCGGCTATTTCCAGATGTCGTGACATTTGTGATTAATCTATCTTGTTGTTGTTTCACCAACCGGTTGTGACATTTTACATATCTCCAGAGGTCGCGTTCCTGGCATAGTAACAAACCAATTAGACGTGCTGGCAGTCCAAACATCGTGTCGTCTATAGCATCGGACACATTTTACAGATCATTGGATTAATCATTGAAATGTCAATTCGCAATCACTTAATTTGGTCATACTAATCCATGAGACCACACCTACAAGAGCCATCAGACTCCCCAAACTCCCCTACCTCGCCTCCAACATCTACTCCCCTCTCCCCTACCTCGCCTCCAACATCTACTCCCCCTCCCCAACCTCGCCTCCAACATCTACTCCCCCTCCCCTACCTCGCCTCCAATAGCTACTCCCCCTCCCCTACCTCGCCTCCAACATCTACTCCCCCTCCCCTACCTCGCCTCCAACATCTACTCCCCCCTCCCCTACCTCGCCTCCAACATCTACTCCCCCCTCCCCTATCTCGCCTCCTTCAACTACTCCCCCTCCCCTACCTCGCCTCCAACATCTACTCTCCCCTATCTCGCCTCCTTCAACTACTCCCCCCTCCCCTACCTCGCCTCCAACAGCTACTCCCCCTCGCCTACCTCGCCTCCAACATCTACTCCCCCCTCCCCTACCTCGCCTCCTTCAACTACTCCCCCCTCCCCTACCTCGCCTCCAACAGCTACTCCCCCCCCCCCACCCCTACCTCGCCTCCAACAGCTACTCCCCCCACCCCTACCTCGCCTCCAACATCTACTCCCCCCTCCCCTACCTCGCCTCCAATAGCTACTCCCCCTCCCCTACCTCGCCTCCTTCAACTACTCCCCCCTCCCCTACCTCGCCTCCAATAGCTACTCCCCCTCCCCTACCTCGCCTCCTTCAACTACTCCCCCTCCCCTACCTCGCCTCCAATAGCTACTCCCCCCTCCCCTACCTCGCCGCCAAACGCCACTCCCCCCTCCCCTACCTCGCCCCCCTCAGCTGCTCCCCCCACCCCTACCTCGCCTCCCACAGCTACTGCACCCCATCACTACGGGGAGAGTGGTAGTCCCCTGTCTCCACATACCACGGGGAAACAGGTTTGAACACATCTCTTATGCTGCTACTGATAGCGAGGAACTGTGACGCCCCCTAGTGTTGCATATACAAAGGTGAAACGGGGTACATGGTGTTGGTTGGGGTGATCACACACAATCCCATATGTACACTGAACGTGTAGCGACATGCCGGGTAGAACAGTGTAAGACGTCACATGATGGGCACACCCGCCCTTACCCTGGGAATCCAGTTATAACTGAACAATCGTGTTCACAATCTCCTTCGTCATCATTATGATTATTAATTAGAGATAATAACTCGCCATACACCACGCCGACACCATCAAGCAAAATCCCTCTGTGTTAATGAACTTCCGTTGCCCGTCGGAGTTTATCGAGAGCCCTGTATTAATACGAATGTGACGTCTGTGATCACCATTACACCTCGCAACATCTAGACGTATAGATGTATCTAGTGGCATCTAGTCTCATTACTCCAGAACAGCAGGACGTATAGATGTATCTAGTGGCATCTAGTCTCATTACTCCAGAACAGCAGGACGTATAGATGTATCTAGTGGCATCTAGTCTCATTACTCCAGAACAGCAGGACGTACAGATGTATCTTGTGGCATCTAGTCTCATTACTCCAGAACAGCTGGACGTATAGATGTATCTAGTGGCATCTAGTGGCATCTAGTTTCATCACTCCAGAAGAGCAGGACGTATAGATGTATCTAGTGGCATCTAGTCTCATAACTCCAGAACAGCAGGACGTATAGATGTATCTAGTGGCATCTAGTCTCATTACTCCAGAACAGCAGGACGTATAGAGGTGTCTAGTGGCATCTAGTCTCATTACTCCAGAACAGCAGGACGTATAGATGTATCTAGTGGCATCTAGTCTCATTACTCCAGAACAGCAGGACGTATAGATGTATCTAGTGGCATCTAGTCTCATTACTCCAGAACAGCAGGACGTATAGAGGTATCTAGTGGCATCTAGTCTCATTACTCCAGAACAGCAGGACGTATAGATGTATCTAGTGGCATCTAGTCTCATTACTCCAGAACAGCAGGACGTATAGATGTATCTAGTGGCATCTAGTCTCATTACTCCAGAACAGCAGGACGTATAGATGTATCTAGTTGCATCTAGTCTCATTACTCCAGAACAGCAGGACGTATAGATGTATCTAGTGGCATCTAGTCTCATTACTCCAGAACAGCAGGACGTATAGATGTATCTAGTGGCATCTAGTCTCATTACTCCAGAACAGCAGGACGTATAGATGTATCTAGTGGCATCTAGTCTCATTACTCCAGAACAGCAGGACGTATAGATGTATCTAGTGGCATCTAGTCTCATTACTCCAGAACAGCAGGACGTATAGATGTATCTAGTGGCATCTAGTCTCATTACTCCAGAACAGCAGGACGTATAGATGTATCTAGTGGCATCTAGTCTCATTACTCCAGAACAGCAGGACGTATAGATGTATCTAGTGGCATCTAGTCTCATTACTCCAGAACAGCAGGACGTATAGATGTATCTAGTGGCATCTAGTCTCATTACTCCAGAACAGCTGGACGTATAGATGTATCTAGTGGCATCTAGTTTCATCACTCCAGAAGAGCAGGACGTATAGAGGTATCTAGTGGCATCTAGTCTCATAACTCCAGAACAGCAGGACGTATAGATGTATCTAGTGGCATCTAGTCTCATTACTCCAGAACAGCAGGACGTATAGAGGTATCTAGTGGCATCTAGTCTCATTACTCCAGAACAGCAGGACGTATAGATGTATCTAGTGGCATCTAGTCTCATTACTCCAGAACAGCAGGACGTATAGAGGTATCTAGTGGCATCTAGTCTCATTACTCCAGAACAGCAGGACGTATAGATGTATCTAGTGGCATCTAGTCTCATTACTCCAGAACAGCAGGACGTATAGAGGTATCTAGTGGCATCTAGTCTCATTACTCCAGAACAGCAGGACGTATAGATGTATCTAGTGGCAACTCATACATGTCCCACCAGCTTCTGTTGTACTGGGACTCAGCAATTCATACATGTCCCACCAGCTTCTGTAGTAATGGGACTCAGCAACTCATACATGTCTCACCAGCTTCTGTAGTACTGGGACTCAGCAACTCATACATGTCGCACCAGCTTCTGTAGTACTGGGACTCAGCAACTCATACATGTCGCACCAGCTTCTGTAGTAATGGGACTCAGCAACTCTTACATGTCTCACCAGCTTCTGTAGTACTGGGACTCAGCAACTCATACATGTCTCACCAACCTCTGTAGTACTGGGACTCAGCAACTCATACATGTCGCACCAGCTTCTGTAGTACTGGGACTCAGCAACTCTTACATGTCTCACCAGCTTCTGTAGTACTGGGACTCAGCAACTCATACATGTCGCACCAACCTCTGTAGCCCCCTCAGGAAACACACTGATTGGTCTTGTGTGTTCAAACCAACCGAACTGGTGTGGACAGGGTCAGGCGCTCGCACCATACAAAATGAATTCAAGGGAGATAACCTTCTAGTTTTGTCTGGAGGCCGATCGACATGGCTTTGTACTCCAAAAACTTTTAAGTCTGTCAATGATTCAAATGATTCATCAGACTGAATGTCAAGCATTTAATTACGTTGAATGTCGAATAGGATATAATCACATCTACCATTACCAGTTTGATATTTAGATTTTTCACATTGTGTGAAGTTATGGAACACACTTTTGTGAAATATTGCCCAGTAAATAAAAGAGCAGTCGTGTTGGATGCAATCACTTCTTTTGTTGCATGTTATATCTATTATTTTTGGGTATGATTTCTTGGTATTTTCAGTTTGAATTTGGCTATCAAGTTTCTCAATATTTGAAATATCTCGCATGACTGCCTCGCCTGGCTAAGGTGTCCGTGCGGCCCCGACTCAGCATCTCACACCAACTCTCAGCATGACTCTGTAGCACACGATCGCTTCTACTTACATAAGAGATTATACAATCGATGTACAGAAGCCCGAATGAGGCTGTGTGTTTTCCAGACGCCCCTGGGTGGCCTCATGCACGACAAGGCAATAATTAGCAGGGTTTGTTTTAGTGTGGGGCCAGGCACACTCATCGATTGTCAGCTAATGCTTCTACACCGCCAGCATCTGGTATGCATTCCGCTTGCAGAATTCCATCCAGTACTGCGACAAATCTCTATACTTTATCATCGTGTGTACACTCTGTTTAAAGTAACAGACACTTTACATGAAGTACTCTCAATTAAATTGTTGTCTGAAAATGTAATGTTCCCTGTATCACAAGTTTATGTTCTCTTCAAAATAGTTCCCCCGAGAAATAATACCGTGCTGATATTCCCTTCCATGACTGTAGATCTGGACTTAGTTATGGGCACTTCTGTATGACAGAGCTGTTCCCACTGAATATAAAAAAGGCTGTGTTTAGATACTCTATAATTTTCCCCGGAAACTAAGCACTAGCCATCACTAAATATTGCCCACATCTGCATCTAAAACCAATTATCTGGAATATCTTGTGTGTGTTTCCATAAAGAAGATATATTGATTTAGAATGTTGGTTTCCTAGCAACGTATTATATTTACATATCACGTTTGTGTTAAGAGTATCGATTCTACCTCTCTAGCTCATCTTTTCCAATATTTTGTGGTCGCCGGATCATATTACGTGTAATAATACAGAGGTATGCTAATTCAAGACTCGTAATTGGAGAAACGGGGGAATATTTATGAAAGGCTATTTATCGTTTATGTGCATTTTTCTAATGAAATCTCCTTATTGTTACCTCGAAGACCCCATCAGAAGGTTTCATTAACCTTGCTTCCATAGTATAAAGTGGGTGTGTAGTATAACGACATCAGATGACTAGGGTATGATGATGTAGCTGATGTATCACACAGGGCATCACGTGTATCACACAGGGCATCACATAGCTAGTGTATCTCACAGGGCATCACGTGTATCTCACAGGGCATCACATAGCTAGTGTATCTCACAGGGCATCACATAGCTGGTGTATCTCACAGGGCATCACATAGCTAGTGTATCTCACAGGGCATCACATAGCTAGTGTATCTCACAGGGCATCACATAGCTAGTGTATCTCACAGGGCATCACGTGTATCTCACAGGGCATCACATAGCTAGTGTATCACACAGGGCATCACATAGCTAGTGTATCTCACAGGGCATCACGTGTATCTCACAGGGCATCACATAGCTAGTGTATCTCACAGGGCATCACATAGCTGGTGTATCTCACAGGGCATCACATAGCTAGTGTATCTCACAGGGCATCACATAGCTAGTGTATCTCACAGGGCATCACATAGCTAGTGTATCTCACAGGGCATCACATAGCTAGTGTATCTCACAGGGCATCACATAGCTAGTGTATCTCACAGGGCATCACATAGCTAGTGTATCTCACAGGGCATCACATAGCTAGTGTATCTCACAGGGCATCACATAGCTAGTGTATCTCACAGGGCATCACATAGCTAGTGTATCTCACAGGGCATCACATAGCTAGTGTATCTCACAGGGCATCACATAGCTAGTGTATCTCACAGGGCATCACATAGCTAGTGTATCTCACAGGGCATCACATAGCTAGTGTATCTCACAGGGCATCACATAGCTAGTGTATCTCACAGGGCATCACATAGCTAGTGTATCTCACAGGGCATCACATAGCTAGTGTATCTCACAGGGCATCACATAGCTGGTGAATCACACAGCGTTGTAGAGTTGGTCTTTAGAAACCCATGCTTGCTGTGAAAGGCGACTATGCTTGTCGATCACTTGATTGTCTGGTCCAGACTCGCTTATTTAAAGACCGCCCGTCATATAGCTGGAATATTGTTGAGTGCGGCGTAAAACAAACAAACACACACACAAGCAAACACAGTGTGATTATTTCTCCTTCATAACTGCATGCATTGATAGAATGTTCACTTTGACCGTAAAAT